GATAAAAATAATAGCCTGCAACATGTTCTTCTCATGATAGTGAAGAATAAAATTCATCATACATAGATAACCTAATTTGAATGTTGATTATGTAACCAAATGCCATATACGCATTTGTTATAATCAAAGAAATTATACGTAGTTAAGATGAGTAACAGCACAAGATTGAAAACAGAAAAGTAATTCAGTTCAATAATAGATCAAACTTGTTCTTGTTTTATAGATCATGTTCAAGATTATGCAGATCATATTACGCGTAATGAAACTTTTTGAATTGCCAGTGAAAAGTTTGATTATATTATTCTAGTTCAATTCTCAGGTTTACAGGCAAATTAACAAATTCAATATGCGAGCTTCCCATGATTAGTTCAGATCAATATATTCGAGTATTTTTAAGTATTTACGGTTTTGACATAGAAACATGGTAATATGAGAACTACTAATATTTATTTTCATGAACTATCAGGTTTTTAGGCAAGAGATTTCTAGAATCTTGCTGAAATTTGTCAATCACATTACAGTCATGCTAGATTCAATTTTGTTTCAAAGTTTAGTGGTACGGAGTCGTGATCAAACAATCTAACCTTTCTGACTGTAATAGGTCCTCTAAGACTCTATCAACAAATAGTTATCGAAATCACCTTTGGATCTTCAGTGTTGAAATTCGACTGGATTCTGGAAGAATTTTAATAAAATCCATTAGTATCCTGGAGAAATTTCGTAGAAATCTGACTTTTACGTATCCTACAAAATCTTACGGTTAAATTTTGTAACATATACATCGAATTCGAACTGTACAATCTTATAAATATTTTGTCAATCAGATTCCTATATGATTTCTATCAACAATTCGATGTCATGGAATGTTTGATCGTCAGAGAATAAAATAATTATCCTTTGTCGAAATCTGTAAGGTATCAATACTTTTGAACACATTTCAACGAAAGCAAAAGTTTATATAAACAAGAATCTCAATCGATTATGTATTAGTGAAGATGAAAATCTACCATGAAATCGTAATGAAAAAGGTGTTTTGTTTGAATCGAGCACAAAGAACTAATGTATAAATTACACAATAATGTATCAACGCACAAAACCTTTAGACATATAACGTACGAGTCTTTGTTTCAAACATAATCCTTTTTTTCTAGCTTGATACGACTAAATTTTCAGAAAAATTTAAAAATATTATGACCTCAATATGGTCAACCAAGATAAACGACTTGATTTATGAAAGATATCAAATAAATCGTTTCAATAAAATTTGTAATATATGATGGTAAATGAGAAAAGAATAAAAATATAGCATTGAATTTTTCTAAATTCATTTTTGTTTTTTGAGTATTAAAAATATTATGTAAAGAAAATCATGCTAACACTATGTTACATCAATAAATAATCATATTAGAGAAATTATGTATAATAATATGATCCATCGTAATCTTTCAATAAAGTGCAGACTATATTACATAAAGCATTATCGATCGTAATTAAATAGTGTATTGAAAAAGACTTTTATACTTATTAAGAGAAGAATGTTAGAAATATTAAAAATAATTACAATTCATTTCAATAATTATTTTAAGTTGATTAATGAATAATATAATTAATTGATATTTATATTTTTAATTATTAATTCACATTTGATAGAATCTAAGAATAAATTATATCTTTTTCTTTCATAAAAAAAACTTTTTTATTTCTGTGCTTCGTACTTAACTGTTAATTTAATTATGGAAATTATTTCAAAATTATTGAATTTCATTTACTAAAATGGAAAGATAAAATTTGTCAAAATGAATTAAACATGAGATCATAATATTAATTTAGAATCAATTAAGAACTTCAATGAGAATGAGCTTCATGAGTTTTCTATGGAATATTTGCGTGGAAAACAAATTTTCTTCTAGAAAAACAACACCGAAAACGAACTTGTGTACATAAACAACAAAAAGCCGTATATTTTGATCAAATAGTGAAAAATTATTGTTCTTTCTGCAATAGTTTGAATAATAAACAACATTATAATGTTTTCGTTGGAGACACACTTAATAAAAAAGAAGAAATTTTGAAAAGAAATGTTTCGTTCCATACAAATGCTTATTTATGACAAGTAAAAATAATGAAAAAAAAAACGTTTTCTTTTATACGAATTGTTTTTGTTTTCAACTTGAAAGAGATGTCAAAATTTTAAACATTAAAATTGAAAAACATTTGATGAATTTTAATCTTGAGTAAAAACAAGAAAAGAATATGTTGACAACGAAAGTAATGAAAATTTTCATGAGAAATGATCAACTATGTTTTTTAACAATGTCATTTGTACTATGCATGTCATAATGAATTGTGTTAAGTGCATTCTATAGTATTGAAATATTTTATGAAAAATCGAACTTTGCATATTTTTTTCTATTTCAAAAAAGAAATTACTTTGTTCGAATGAATTTTTCTACATCGATAATAATTATAAATTATTTACAATTTTATTTACATTAAATATTCTTTAATATAAAGTTCTACTGCAAAAACAATATTGATTTCGTTATGAGAAACTAATAGGAAAAAAAAGAAAAATAATTATCGTTATTCCCATGTGTATAATGTTCACCAGAAAAATAGAGCAAAATTTTGCCATTTCATATAAAGTAACACACAAAACAGATGGTTAATGTCAATGTCTTGAAAAAAACCTGTTTTTTTTTGCTTAAATAAATTTATATAAGTCAAAGCAATATTAATGATAAAAGATATTGTTGATAATATTGTTCACAAAAAAGAAATTTATTTGTACTCTATTTATTTGTTTGTTTCAGCCACTAAGTAACAGAGATGCCTCTTTGGATTGCATTTTGCACTACAATATTGATTCGCGTATTATCTATATAGTTCCTATTTTGTTTCTTTTCATTTTATATATATTTTCTTCTGGTTGGATGAACAACAAATAATTAGCGCAACTATAAAAACAAAGGAATTTGAAGTTGTGACGATATATAAAGTTTTAGGCTGTAAGAGTCCGAGTAAATCAGCACATTATTTTTATTACATAGATTTCATACCTCGAAAATTTTGAAGGTACGCGAAAAAGTATTTTCTAAATGTAGTTGTTATCCAATGGTTAAACAACATAAAAAAATCATGAAAAATCTTATCTCTTTATGAAACTTGTGAACAAATATCAAAATATAGTCTTACAATACTTGTTAAAGCTCATTGCCACATAATCATATATTGACGTGAAAGATTCAACACATCTTTTTAGCCTAGTCTTTATATTTAAAATACAAAAAAAGATTTTTCTGGAATTAAAAATCAATTGAATTCAATTACCAGATGATCATAAACAGTGTGTATGACTTTTTACAAATGTTCTTGATAATCCTGGAATGAAACTTAAAGCATTACAATCAATTATTCATACAATTATCTATTTGATTTCAAACTGAAATCAGGGTCTCTTAGAGAGATCTTTTAAGCCCAATAGTGGTGATTTTTGAGCATAATATAATTTTTAAACCTCCGTGAGTAAAACCAGAACGTTTACATAGTGTAAATTAATTTTGTTATGAGATACTTCTTTTCTTTATAGGACGACGCCGTACTCCCATGATGTATCGAGAAACAATTTATTTTTTTTGCTAGATTATCTAAGTCCCTACGGTTTGGAAAAAGAAAACGTGATTTTGCTGCTACTAGTCAGTTTTAAACGATAAAGCCTATTGACTTTAATAATATTACAAAATAATAGTACTATGGATCAACCTTCACCACGGAAACAAACAACATTTTAACTCATTTGTGATAATGATTTCATGCTTTGCAATGACGAAACCTACGACACAATACTTATGAGACAAGTCAGTGTTTCAATCATTATAACCTCGAAATACAATGAAATTATATTTCCACACTCAATACTTGAGTTGATGAGTTTTTATATATATTCACCCATTATCTATGGTTGTATGGCATTTATGCGCATGACATTTGTGTGCTGACATTTTCGCGCACAACTCTAACGCACAGGATAAGATATAGGCGTCGGTGTGTGTGATGGCTTAGATCTTCTCCTAACCTACAGCACACACTGACCCCCTCCCCCCGCAGCCACACTCCACCCTGCATGTTAAAGTCGTGCGCGAAAATGTCGCCTTACAATTGCCTATAGTGTCTGTGTGCTACATTTTTGTATTTCAGTTAATTGTAATAACATTTTTCTTCATCAACTGATCGTTCTGATTTATTGAGTAGATGTAGACAGAAAAATCCTGAAAATCAACAACCTCTTCAATCACAGATTTCGCTCTCACCATCACTATGGTGATGTACTCTTGCATAGTTTGTCACATTCTATTAATAAAAATTTAGGAAAAAAAATCCTCTAGAATTTACAAGGATTTCTAATTTTCGGCATTTAGCAACTTTACCGATCCTTCTTCATTAATTTCACATTCAGGTCTGAAATTTTATCATAGAAGTCTTTTTTCTTCCTTGCATTTTAACGTTACTATTCATGAACAATGTGATTCTTCCGTATATTTAATTCTTTTTTTGGCTATGTCATGTAATATCATTGAGCAGATCTGAGAAATAATGAAATAAGCAACAACAATAAAAGTTCATCATCATCACAAGGTTTATTATCAATGAAAATTATATTTTATGATAAATATGATCTGAATCAACTCTCTCATACAGAAAACAAAAGTTGTTGAAAATATCTTATCTAATAAATTCAAACATCTGTTTTTTTCATGTTCTCATTCAATAAAAAAAATAATCCAATAAGAAATTGAAAATACACAATGAATATCTATCGAAGTAAATAAGTAATAACGACTTTTTTCATGCCCAAATAATGATAAATGATCAGATAATTCTAATTTTCACGCTTTATTGTTGATACTAATAATTATAATTATTCTAACATATCTTTCTATATATTTGAAAGGAAAAAAAAAACTATACAAAAAACAAAATCCTTTCTTTAACAATTTTCATTATGGACTGTCCGACCACCAGGAAACGATATCAATAGGTGATTGAGGTACATCACCCGCAACACTGCTTACATGACTATCTATTGTCAACATATGTTGACCATCATCGGGAGATGACCACGATTGATAATAATAACCAGCATCTATAGAATTGTGTTTTGAACGAATATTTTCTATTTTTTGATCATCATCACTATTAAACCTAAAATCGCCATCTGTATATGCATCTAGATTGGGTACAGCAGCTGTTGCTTCGGCTATATCAGTTGAAGACCAAGTTACTGTACATGAAGTATGATCAGTTCGACGAAAAAAATTATGTTCAAGAGCTCGAATAGCTGTTGGACGAAGGCTTTGTTTAAATGATAGTAATGACTGATATTTAATAAAATATACATGAATATTTCTAATATATATAAATAGAAGAATAAAAAAACAGCTTACGCGAAGTAATTCAAAAGCACAACTATCTTGAAAACGAATAAGTCGCTCGAGTGTTATAATCGATTGAGAATAATTTCCAAAAGCTTCTCTCCTAATCGGAGAATCTTGTGGCCATTCATCTTCATTTGGTAAACCCATCAAACTAAAATATTGTAGAAAATTTATTTTATCTTCATTATATGTACATTTGTTCATGCCACAAAATCTCGTCTTACAGTATGATACGACGTAATTGACGACTCTCTGATTTAGCAGCAAACAATGGTCGACCAAGTGCCATTTCACCAAGAATACATCCAACACTCCACATATCAGCTGATGTACAATATGGCGATGACAAAAGAATTTCTGGTGCTCGATACCACATAGTTACAACCTAAATTTTCGAAATAAATTCAAACATATTGATATTAAAAAATTCAATAACTTACCACAGTGGTAAACACTTTATGTTCATGATATTCACGAGCAAGACCAAAATCAGCCAATTTTAATATGCCTATGAAAAAACAAAAAATAAAATTAATTTTTCCATTCATTCAACTTCTTCTCTTTTTCTTTTTGTCAAACCAACCGTTATTAGTAACAAGAATATTTTGAGGTTTAATATCTCGATGAAAAATAGAATGATTATGAAGAACCGATACAGCTGTTAATAATTGTTGAGTAAAATTCTAAATAACAGAATAATAAGAAGTGTTTAGTTAAGCAAAATTACAGACTCGAATTTGATTAATATCTAAAGGACTATACATTTTGAGATATCGCTCAAGATCACGTTCAATATATTCAAAAATAAAATAAATATTCTGTCGATCAACACTTGCTTGTTCACTAAATACTTCTTTTAGTCTATAAAAATAAATGAATATTTAAAAAACATAAAATAAAATAAAATGTTAAAACATATATACTTAATTAAATTTTCACTATCAACTTTACCAACACGTTTCAATAAAGCAGCTTCACGAATTACAGATGCCGGTAAACCATCACGAGTACGTAATATACTCATCTTTTTAATAGCAACAGTTTCATTGGTAGTCACATTTCGACTTTTAAGCACACATCTAGAGAAAATCAAATTATATAGACAATAATTTCTTTTCAAATTTACTAAATACTTACCCATAAGCACCTTGTCCAATAATTTCTCCTAATTCATAAACATCTGATTTGACTAGAAGAAGTCTTGTCATGATTGTTCAGGTCATACACGTTCAAACTGACTGACGCATGTTTCGGTTAACGACACAAAGCGAGAGAGAGAGAGAGCGAAAGAGGAAGAGAAAAAAATATGGATGAACTTTTGTTGAACGAAAAAAGAAAATCACGATGCATACTTATATATGCATCGAATATCAACAACGATGACGATTAATAGAATAAGGAAAAGCAATGTTGCAGCTAGAGGTGAACGTTTTTATCCTTCGCGCTTATTCGTTTAGAAATGGATACACATATATGAATAAATATGCACACTTTATATGCAATGCTTGTTCATGAATTCGATTTGTTGTCGTTCAACCATATAATCCACATCATATTATATTTGGTGTAAATTATTGATAACTGCTTTCTATCATCGATAAACGTATCCTTTTTCAACAAAAACAAATTTATTTTATTGGATTAATATTTGTTTAACATCACACGTGCATCACATATTATTAAAAAAAAAACAGAACAAATGATAAAACTTATCACAGAATTATTGAAAAAAATACTAACTATGATCCAAAAAATTGTTTCATCTCTTTAAGTATTAGTGTTGCGTTATACGAAGAAAAAGTCCATCGTTGGGTGATACTTTTTGTATTACATTGTTCCATAAAAATTTGTTTACTTTCTAAATCACAGTCCAAGCACAAAAGTGTGGATACATGTAGAATCTGATAAGTGTTGATATTATATGCAAAATGTTGATTACCACGCATACCTATTGATATATGTAATGAAATTAAATTGAATAGACAAAAATTAATTTTAGTATTACCATGACAAGTAAATAACACAACAGGTGCGCGTTGGCTTCTTTTAGGTACATCAAAACAAAATTCACGACCTTTGGGTCGAATATCTTGACGCCAACTAAGCTCAAAATCCTAGAAAAAACAACAGAATAATTTATATGGGATAGAAAGAGCACAATCCTTGTAGAATTACAATGTGAAACACGATGTTACTAATGTTGCTAATCAATAGGGAAATTGTTTTATTCTTCGTACTTTGGGATAGGTTTCTTTATTCTTTTGCTTAGGCATCCAGAAATCCATTAAGGAAGTAGGTAATATTATTTGACGAGCTACTATTGATATACAATCGCAGATTATATATCAATAACGTCTGCTACGAGCTATGTGGAGAGGGCGATGCAAATTTCTACTCTCTATACTTCAATATTCCTTTTAGTTCGTGTTTCACAAAAGTCATCGTAATTAGTTATTTATTTTACTTGTTCACCACTTCGACCTTGATGATCTCTGAGACATAGATCAAGACCAAATGTTGCATGCTCACCACCATGTTTAGTATCAATACATAGAGTATTATTCATACTTCGAATCTAAACAAATAGTAACAATTAACTAGAAACTATCAAGAAAATATATATTCTTTACTTCTCCCATAGCAAATGGAGGTAATGGAACAGGTGGATAATATCTAGATAAATCAAATGCAACATTTTCCATAAACCTATCATATAAAAAACCAACAATAAATTCATCATTGAAATAACAAGAAAAAATATAACATTTATACCATTTAAATGGTTTACAGTTCAGTTTTTTACGTAGTTCAAGTTGTTTTTTGACACTACCTGGGTTTACATTTCTAAATAAATGATAGATCAATGACCATCAGAACAAAATTCTACCTCATATGTCCATTTCGTTGGTAAACATATTCAGCATATTCATCCATCCAAACCATTGCTACTCGTTTATGATTCTATACCGCAAAACAAAATCTCATTCAATAAAACTTAAATCGTCATTCGTTTATGCTTACTCTTGATAAATAATCACCAAATGAAAAACCACCATGTGGATTAAATTGCCGATAAATATGACCAACTCTTGAACATGGTGCATCAATAAGCCGTCCACCACATTGCCAAATTTTAAATGACATTTCATATTGCTCACCACCCCATACATCGAGACCTTCATCATAACCATCTAATTCCCAAAACCATTTTTTACTGATTGCAAAAAGACCACCAGCCATGACTGGATCGCTAGAAAAAAAGATATTTACAAAAAAAATTAAGAATTTCAATATCTTACTCGAATGGTTCTGTTGGATTTTGTGCCTGCTCAGGTAACAAAGGTAATCGTTTATAAAACATATTCCAATCGAAAGCACCACGAGCACCTGAAAATAGATACCTGATTGTTTTGTCATTGTATGAAATATGATGAAATTTTGCTAACCTTCATCTTGAGCTGTATAAGCAAAATTTTCCCATTTAATAATGTCTATAAATGGGCAAACACTTGTTTTATAATTTAATGCAATCGGTTCGATTAATGGTGGTAGCCAATTGATATTAACTTCGATATGTGAATCAAAGAAAATGAGTATTTCACCCTTTGCTTCACGTGCACCTGCTAATCTTGTACGAATAAGACCTTCACGTCTACGAAGACGAATAATACGTGTCTTCGTTAGATTAGCAATATGAGCATCAAGTGCTGCTTTCAATTCCTCTAAATATATATCAAAGAGATTTATTTAAACTTTAACTTTATTCATATATACATTTACCTTTTCCACTTGCATCATCTACAATAATGATTTCTTGCAAAAGTTTCGCCGGTGTTCGATTTAATATACTATGTATTGATCGAAGTAATGTAGTTAAATGTTCATCATGAACAGGAAGAATAATACTAACCTGTTAACAAAATAACTACGATTTTAAAAATAAATACTCTATCAAGGAACTTACAGTAGATAATTCAGCTAGATACAATTTGTTTTTACAGCTGCAAAAAAAGAAAGATTAAAAATTAATGAACAAAATAAAATATATATTACTCAGGATGACGAATATCTTTAACTGAACGATCAAGTGAAATATTATTCGAAATAAAAGCATTAAAACCATTTTCTCCATAAAGTTGTTTAAATTGTGGACTATTACGTTCTTGTGCGCTTGGTTCAACTCCTGTACCTCTTTCACCTAATCCTAATAATTAAAAGTAAAAAAAAAAGATGAAATGCCAACTAATCAATAAATAATGAACAAATACCTTGCCGAGCATTTTCACGATCAATCAATTCATAATCATGCCAATCAATCTTTCTTAATTTTTTTCCATCAATTTCAATAATTTCTTCGCGTACTGTTCGGGATTGAAGTTGGGTAGTTGATGTCACCGTAGTAGTTCTATGAATTATTTTATCAACAAATCGTTTTGCCTTTCGTTTTATTTCTATATTAGATGAATCATCATGTCCACCATCAGTCTGATTTTCTGAACGGTTTTTAGTTAAATAAATAATAATAATAATTGATACAATAGATATAATCAAAATACGCTTTCGACGATATCGTACCGGCATTCCACATTCGGTTTTTCTTATTTTCTATCTAGAAGAAAATGTGCATATAAGACAGATGAAGTTTATTTCAGAAAATGCTTTTGTTTTTCTTTTTTTTTATAAAGATGATTTATTTTTTGCCTTCAACCATTATTATATGATAGCCATGTTTTGTTTTAACAATAGATGACATCACAGGTTTAGCCAATGTACTAACAGGAAGAGCAAAAGCTGCATCTTGAAATTCACCTACCATTGATCCACGTGTCATCCATCCAAGATCACCCTATAAATGTATAAAGCAAATGTAGCTATTGAAAATGACTTGAACGTTTGTATCTTACTCCATGTCGAGCTTTATCTTCCGAATAAGTACGTGCAACTTCATCAAATTTCATTCCACTATTAATTTTTTCCAATGCTTCTAATGCTTTTGACTGTTTTTCACAAAGAATATGTCGTACCTATAGAAATAAATTTAATCAATTTAATGGTTCGATATAAATATTTATTCACTTTGATTGATGTACCGCCCTTACTGCTACCACCTGATGCCTCAGTTGAATCACCACCCACAGACGCTCCTTTGCCTTTGCCTTTTTTTCCAGACATTATTTCATTTATTGTCAAGTAGATTGATTTTGAAACCTTCGAGAAGGGCTGTTGCCACACAAGAAGTAGAAAATTTAATAAAATGAGGCAAACAAGTATCAGTATAACGGATTTGTTAAATTGACTAATCAATAGGAAGAACGTTGAAAAGAAACATGCATAAACGAAAGAGAGCGACATCCTGACTTTTTACGTTGAATGCTAATTACAAAACAAAATCTTTCTGATCCGATCAATTGATATTGAATACTATCAATAAAAGATCCTACAATTTAAAAAATAATGTGATCAAATGTTTACTACTATACTATATCTCTTTTATCAAATCTGTGTTGAAACAATAATTTGTTATTAGCTGATTGAATATTTTCTTTTCCTCCGAATTCTATATAATTTTTATTCTGTATGTTCATAATCAAAAAACCAATAACCTAGTAAAATATGCTCGTACGGGAAAGCTAAGATTCTTCAGTGATTTATTAGAGAAATTCTGCAAAACAAGAGTTAACTTTTTCTTTGACAAAAAAAAACAAATATTTCAGAGCAAACGATTTCTTCACGTTTACGATTCATTTTTAAACATTAACAATATTTTCTCATGTCACTTGGTGTTCTTCGATGGATATTAAAACACTTTGGTAACTTACATTACCATGATTATCAATAGATTTCAATAGTTTTTAATTTGACCAATTGCTTATTGGTAAAAATTTTGTTCGCTTATATTTGAAATATTTAGACATTGTATTTTACATTTCTTTTTCTTAAGTATTTGTTTTGCAAAATAAATGAAGTTAATATTTTACATTTCTTTTCTAAAAAGAAATCGCAAAATTTCTTGTATGATCATGTCCATTACTTTCTCATGTCGCATTTACCATGAATAAATGTAACAAAGATAAATCATATATAATTCAAAAGAGCAAAAAATTCCCCATTGACTGAAAAAAGAATTTTCTTTTCGTTACGTGTTATAAATCAATATAAAGGTTAACATTTTGTGTCATTACTTTTACATCGTATATTATCTGATGAACAAGCATGAAATGTTTGTTATTTTACAGATAGATATGATCATTAAGATAAATTTTAATAGAGTTTTTCTGATAATAAATAAAGGACACTAGATTCAAACTAGCTACTATTCAACAGATTGAAATCGACTTCATCAAATTTCTTTCTTTTAACATAAATTGTAGTCATAAAAAGATGAAAGTTGTTGAAATGATTATTTGCACAGACGCATGTCCTTGATAGTACCACTTAACGTCATATGCGTACATGCACATGAATGACTTTGAACTCATTTTGAAGACAGACAATTCCTAATAAAATTTTTTTGATAAACATGATTAGGCAAAAATCAATGTCATGCTTCGTTTTATCACCATTGGCAAGAACAGATGTATGACTATATTTACTTAATACATATATATATATATTGTGTGATATAGTATGTAAAAAGATACTTCAAGTAACAGTTACATATGCTTCTTTGATCAAGATTGTCATCATACAACTATTAATCCATTCAAGCTAATATGCTAAATATCATTTTTTTTTCTTTTCTTTTCCTATAACATATGCATGATCAATAGAAATGATAAAGAAGAGAAAAAGAAACGTTTTCTCGTTATCAAGCAGTTCGTGTGTTCTCATTGTTATGACAAATTGTATATAGTGCAAGTCACTCAATGATCAATATATATGTATGCATGACGACATTTTCAACGACAGAACATTATCGTCAAATATAAGTAAGTCATAAGTATGTAGAGAAGTTTCGATGATGAAATAGTAGTCATAAAATGATCTCTATGTAACAGATCCTCCCTTTACTTATTACTTATCAGATGTATATTTAACCTATGCTATTTTTGATCATTCAAGAAAATAGAACTCGTTTTCTATCTGTTATTTTATAACCGTTGTTTCTAAAATGTGATCATTGTGTTTTTTTTTTAATACAGTGTGAAGAACAGCAGCTTGTATTCCTATTATGATTCTTTTTTTTCTCGTATTCTTCCATTTTTTATCTTCATTCGGTTTGTCTGTTGTTTATCTACAATACTTTTGCCTCTTTTTTTTTTTTTTTTTTACAAATTTATTAAATACAGACAGTATATTGAATAAAGTAAGCGATGATGTAATCATTTTCTTTTCTAGTTTGAACAAAAAAACAAAAAAAAAAGCATTCAGATTGACGTAGTTGGTCATCTGTACGCATGCATACTAGATGTCATGAGTACAACAAGCGTATATATACAGAGAATGTATATATAAACATCTTCACTATCCATTGTATAACTATCATCAACTGACGTAGGTTTGACCAAAAGACACATTATATTCTTGTAATGCTTATGTGATCTTTTGAGTATAACCAAGACCGAAATACAACAGTACAGATTCATTGTAATGAAGATTTATTTAGTTCTTTCAATATCAATAACTATTAGCCAAGGTCTGTCCCCTTTTTTTCTCACTTGTGCGACGTCATCGTATTCTATATATATATATGAATATACGTAATGATCAAACTTTAGTATGTAGAGTTCTCTCTAGGTCAGCTTGGTAGTAAGTAGAGGCAATAATCTCATATCATACATAAACAAGCACACACAAAACACACATATATATTGTTCAAGGCGGCTAAAGATGAAACGACTAGGGATGAGACACTAAAAGAATCACTTTATAGTGTTTAAGGATATAGACGATTATTGTTTGAGTGATTATATTGTCAGACATAGAAAGATTACGAAAAGAATATGATTAAATTATGTTGATAGATATTTTGAAATGAATTAGAAAAAATACTTCCACAAAAAAATAGAATTTAATATTGTTAAAACTACCATAAAATCATTTCTAAATCTATTCATATATCGATCGTCTAGAATAACTAAGAGGTATCATCTTATTACCTTTTGTTTTTTTTAACTTCTTTCTTTTTATTTATAAACGAGCATTAGAAATCAGATACGTCTGTCACTTAGTTCAATTTCCTTTCAATATTTCGATCAAGGACATTTTTTTTTTTTGAGGAAGAAACGAAGTTATAGTAATGCATTGATAGCCTTCTCCCATCGACATTTCTATGATGTTGGTATTTTTTTACTGTTCGAACTATCGGTGAACAGGTGCTACACATTCTCGCTTTTGGAGTCTATTGTGACAAAAAAAAAAGTGAAAGCAAGTGCATATATGTAGAACCAATAATTATAATCACTTGTATCATCATAGGACATTAACACAGTATGTATGTTCGAAAATTTATTTGTGCTTCTTTGATGTAATAATCATTTTTTTTTGTCACATAAAAAACTTTCGATCACTCCATTTGTTTCTCTACATAATAGTATGTATGTACTATAGAGGTTTCATCATTTACAATATAGCAATAACTATTGTTCATATGTAATAATATCGATTTGAATTCTATATATATATATTTGGTTTCTTTTTTATATGACCCATATGAAATAACCTGCTGTTTTTTGTTATCTTCATATGTCTCTAAACTATAATGTCCTAATTTACCATACAAATATATATTCATCTGACACAACGAAATGATATCAATCATTATCATATATATATATCATAAAGAAGAAGAGGAGAGCTTTTTCTCTTTTGGCCGAAGGTTATCAAACTACTATACATTTGTGTTTAATCGAACTATCTCGAGACATATATGAAGGATTCAGTGACAAATGAAAGAAGACAAGAGAAAAGAGAGGGAGAGTAGGAAAGAGTTCATTCATATGAATGTGCATAAGCAAGAATTTACTTCTTTACTTGACGATTACTTCGTTCATAAACAACAACAGTATGTTATACTAAATGAATAGTGATGGATGAAGAGATTGAAGGACAGTGAATATATACGAATCGCACTATTGTTAGTTTAAATAAAAAAAAAAAAAAAAGCATGAGAGAGTGAGGCCATAAAATTTTCATGCATACATGCAACACACACAGGAGTATATATTATATCGATGTAATTTTCATTTTTGTTTTTTTTTCATTGAAATATTGAGGTTTCCAATCTGACAGCTGAAATGAGACATTTCATATTTTATTCTTTTGATATTTATTCTCTCTAGTTATTACGAAAATTTAATACGATGGGTAATTGTATTGGTAAAAAATCTACGTTACAACATAAACACCGTAGACATTCTCCTTCAACAAAAATTAATTCTACTAAATTATATTGTAATGATCAACGACCTACAAAACAAGAGCCATTATTATTATTATCGTCATCAACATCACCATTGAATACTTCAACGGAGCGAAGTAGCATTTTTCTGTCTCATTTGTCCGATGTAAAAGAAATTGATATCATACTCAACGGTAATGACGATAGCGAAAGAAAAGTTATTCAATATTCATCACCCTCA